CCCCTGCTTGGTTCTGCTCTTGGAAGTTTTTCTGGTTGGGACAACAGTGTTCGGAGGAAGAGGCTTCAGAGACGGAACAGGCCGGCATGAGGAAATTTCAGTCCCCTTGCCCACCGTGCCCCTCCTTGATCCCAAAAGTGGACCTCCTCATCATCGCTTTATAAATGTTGGGGTGGGACAGTGTTTTTAAATAAATGCCTGCCTCAGTCACATACAGTTTGATCCCAAGTGTGCAAATTCAGATATTTGCATGTGGAACTCCCTGCCTGATACTCTTCCGTCTCAGAATGCTGTGAGGGATTGCTTGTTTGAAAGAGCCCCAATGCCAAAATTTTCCCTGTGCCTGAAAAACTTAGTATGTTGGACAGCCTTTAAGTGTCCAAAACTATTCTGTTTTCTTCATCTCATTTTGCATCTTTGTGCTGTGTGGTCCTCAGAAGGAAGTTTCGCCAACTTCAATGAAAATAGCAATTGTGTTTCGAATTAGAGCTTTGAAACTGTCAGAGGTTTTTAGCATGCTTGCACAGGACTTGAGTCTGTGAATGTGAGGAAATAGTGACATTAGTGTCTCACTAGCATGCCATATACAGAAGTGTTGTGACACATATACTGTGGTAAAGGTGGCCAAAAGTTTTTTCCTGTTTCATCAGGAATACGTCTCTGGATATTGATTTACTGGCTCAGGAAAGTATTAAAGGAAAGGCTTTTCACTTCTGCTGCTTCAGAAGAGTAGCTTTCCCAGCTGTGGTTTCTCATGAAAAGGCTGAGGCACATGTACAAGGTGCCTCAGTTTGATACTGAGCATGTGGGATTAGATTCTGGATCACTCCATGATCAGGTCTTCAGTGCTTGTATTGCCAGTATCCGTTAGCAGCATGAGATCATCTCCAAAATCAAATACAATAGATCGGAGTTTGTAAATCCACATGGAAAACTACTTTGCAAGTTCTTATTGTTGTTAAAAGTGGAATGTATTTAATCTGTAACCTGAGCAAATGTCAAGCTTTCCAGTCCTAAAATAAGTACTGCTATTTAATTAAGAGGTTGCTTTTTTCTTTTGGTGGGAAAGGACTTCAGGTAAGCTAGTGACTCATTTTTATGGAAGTATATTCCCAACCAACTTGCAGAATGCCCAGGTAGTCAATATTTGTTTTTCATGCCTCAGAGGGCTTTGCATTGCTTTTTCTATCTAATTGCCAGTTTTTGGTTAGCTTTTGGGATATTTCAGAGAGTGTAATTTCATGTCCATTGTTGTTTGCTGTGGCTCGCATTTCCAGCTGTTTGATTTCTTTGGTGCTACAACAGTTAGTAATTTGAATCAAGGTTTAATTCAAACCCTGCAGTTAAAGGCTTCCAGTAATTAGTTGCTTGTCTGTTTATAATCATGAACCTCACGAAACAGTGTTCTTTGCAATGCAATTATAGTAGAAAGACAAAACAAGATGGAGTTTAAAAGACTCTGTCCATTAGGTATACTTTATGCTTGATCGGTAATAGAAAAAGATGGTTAGAGGAATACTTTGGGATATTTCTGGTGCTTTAGTTGAGTAGACAAGTGTGGAGTTACCTTTTCATTTCCAACGACCAGAATGCTGTTGATTTTTTTTATCACAGAAGTATAATGATGCTCTTCTGTTCTGCCATCACAAGGTGGGGTTTGTGCAACTCAGTATAGCTCCATTTGTGACCCTTAAGGGATGACAGTTTTTTCTTGCTTTTTCAATTGTCCCATATAATCACTTGCTTTCAGAAGCATTTCAAGGCTCTGTAAAGCAGTTCCATGCTGGCAAATGGCCACCCCTTTTCTTTCTCAGCTGTATGAGTAGTAAAATCCTTACTTTGGACAAAAAATGTAACCCTCTTACCTGGTCTTTTGGTGCTGTTTGTGGTAACATTTTGAGTAGACCATATGTGAGAAAACCTGCCGTTTGAAGATAAAGTATTGTTCAGGGTTGCACTATAGAATTGTTGGTACTGTATAGAAATGCAAATGCACAGATAAATTTGGTCAAAAATTTTTGTGAGGGAGATTTTTTTTAAAAAAAGAATCCAGTGGGAAATTTGGAGAAACATCAAAAAACTCTGATGATATATAGTTTTTTGCTTTTGGAAAGACTAAAATGCTTTTTAAAGGTGAGCTTTTATTTACTTGAAATGTATAGCATGAAAGTCTAAGTACTTAGTTTTCAGTGGAAAAATTCTTGAAATGTATAGCATGAAAGTCTAAGTAGTTTTCAGTGGAAAAGTGGGAAGTTTTAGGAAGCATGGGGGAAAATAATTCCTATGAAGTATTTTTTCCATTTTGGTATGAGTGTTTGCTGTATAGGGCGCAGCAGTTTGCAGTTCTCACTTTAATATTGGGTATATTTCCATTTTGTTTATAGAATTTATATTTCAAAATGCATGCATTTCTGGTGTTTTTTTTTTAAAAAACAATCTAGAGGGGAAAATTGTCCCCCTCTGTGTCTGCAACATTTCTGGAAACTTTACATTTCTCTATACTGCTTACTAGCCATTCTCAGAGTTCAGCAATCTGAGGACCCTGTTCTGATTTTTAAAATTTCATATGCTCTCCTCCACTCTCCCTCACTGATGCTTGCCATATTCCAGGTGGTCTCCGCAACCTATAGCCCATGAACGTCTCCATCCTCTAGCGTCTCTAAAACAATACACTGAGGATCCCCTTAGCTACACTTTAGAGGCAGGTTCAAGAAAATTGTTTATGTTGTCAGTAAATGGACCTCTAAGGCTGCATCTCTGATGGCAGCTGCTTTTACAAGCCAGTACACAGAAGGCCGTGATCTAAGTTCAGACTCATCCCTTGACTGG